ATACTAAAATAATTCTTATTATTCACTGTTTAAATCTATGTATTGCTCTGTTTTTTTTTCTTTCTTTTTTAGTTAAAACTATTGGCACAATTTAAAGAGTCAAATAGTTCTATGCATCTTGGTACAAAACCCAGCATTTCCTGTTACCCACACCCCTTTTGAACCATCTGACTGCTTCATTTCTTTTTCCCTCCTTATCTCTAAACAACGTGTTTATAAGGCTATTTCTTAAGCATCACATGTAGGCACTGCCCACAGGCTGTCCACAGTGGAAACACTCCCCCAGTCTCCCAACGGCAGGCACACCACTTGCTTGCGCCTCCCCCGCAGTTCTCCCCTGGCTGGATCACGTTCTGCTTGAGCATCGTTTACCCATGCAAACATCATTCAAGTCATGTACTATGACACTTTCCCTTTCTTGAACATTTTGTTTTTCCCAGAGTTAGTGACTGTCTCACTTTTTCATTTGTTTAGTTTGCTATGTACTTATTAATAATTCATCTCTGAACTCTCCTTCAAATAACTGTTCTTCTATAAATACACTGAACACTGAGCTATACTAGATAATTTCTTCAATTTTCTCTTGCTGGAGCCAGGACTCCTGACTGGTTTATGCCCCTGTCTGTATGGTAAGCACCCCCATCAGCACTCCAGCTTCCTTATTTATGGGAATGAATCTAGTCCTCCCTAGATAGGCTCAGGCTGACTTTTATATATGATTGACAACTGATTAGAAATCATTTCCTTGAGAATTCTGGAGGCATTCCTGCATTGTTATCTTGTATCCAGAGATGTGATGAGGTATAATGCCATTTATATTCCTTACCCTTTGTGTGTGACCTCGTTTTTCTTTCGAGAAGTTTCCAGGGTGTCTTCTATATCCCCCATCTTTCTTTGGCCATTATGCTAGGTACCTGGCATGGAGCTACCACTAAATCACCCAGATCCCAAATTTTATTGCTAACATTACTTCTCCTTGCAAAGGTATACCTTTTCAGAAAAACTGTATATAGACAGTAATGGTAGGGTCTGGAGAGAGAGGAAATCAATGTTGTGTTCAGTCACTCTCTTCAGGAGTCTTCCATTTCTTCCTCTTAGAAAAAACCTCTTTGCTTAGGTTCTTTCACATCATTGCCCATCTTTTCCTCAAAACTCACTGATGTCTCACTCTGTCTCCACCCTGGTTCTTCCTCCAGGGCCCAGCTCCCAGGGTGGGCAGGCTCTTATCTGTGCTCCCCACACCCTCCCTTCCCGTGCCCACCCAGCTCCTAGGTAAACACGCCCATTCTCACAGCTCAAATACTGTCCACATGCTGGAGATCCCCAAATTCCTAGCTCTAGCCCCCAAATCTCCTGAGCACCAGACTCACATCTAACCTCCCACCAGACTCCTCCCATCCCAAATTTCACACACATCTCTGACTATCTCAAACTAAGTTCACAATTTTTTTTCCTGTATTTTCCATCTGAGAAAACAACACTGTCACCTACTTAGTTGCTCAAGTTGGAAATCCAGTAATCACCCAAACTTTGTCTCTCTTCCTTAATCTCATAACCAAATTATTAGCCAGTCATGTTGAGCCTAACTCTGAAATATATATATGTATTTTTTTGTGTGTTTGGTGCTGAGTGCATGCAAAGCAAGCACTCTACCAACTGAGCTATATCCCTAGCCCTAAAATATATTTTTAATCTCTCTTTCTCTCTGTTGTGACACCACCCTCAGACTAGGCCACAGAGCTCTTGGATCACAACAACGGCCAAATGGTCTTCCTATTCCTACTCGGCCCTCCTCTAGTCCTCTAGTCCACCTCTAACAGCCAAGGTGATCCTCTTAAAACGTAAGACAGAGCATGTCACTTCTTTCTTAATGCCCTCCGAAACTCACCACTGGACTCAGAATACAACCTAAATCCTATACCACAGCGTACAATTCCATGCTGGCTATGGCCCTAATAATCCCACAATCTTAATTTTTAAAATTCTTTCTATGTTATTTAAATTTTTTTATCAACATGTTTTTAATTGACACAGAGAAACTGTACAATGTGGCATTTCAATACATGTACACAGTGGGCTATAATCCCTTCAGGGAGAGCCATCTCCATCGCTTCAGACTCACATCATTTCTGCGTCAGAAACCTATAGGATCCTCTTTTAGCTATTTTGAAATAGTCAACAGTTACCTTACTGAGCTACAGAATATTAAAAGTTATTCCGCCTATCCAACCATATCCCTGCACTCTAATTTTGTACCACTCTTCTCACTTATGGGTTCTGGCCACACCGACCTCCCTTCATTTGTTCAAAAATGACAAGTCACCTCCTCATGAGCTGCTTCTCTGAATGGGACGCCGCTCTTCCCACTGACCTTCCCAGACAGCCCCTTCTCAGCCTTCAGGCCTTGGCTCCTTGGAGAAGCCCTTCCTACTCGCCTTGACCCATCTCTTAGGATTCACCTTCCTGCTCTCCCTGCCCCAACGTTATTTTTGTTTGCTCATTACTATTTGTCACAATTTGTGATTATTTACTTTTTCTCCTACCAGCTGTGAGTTCCATAAGGGAGAAAAAGAGTGCGTGAGCACCGAGCGCTGGGCCTTCTGGGGGCTTGAAGGGGCTCCACATGCATTAGTTAAACAAGGAGCGAGCACCCCACTTCCAATCCATGCTGAGTACTGGATCTGAGACCACCTCTTTACAATTGAAAATGAATCTTGTTATCAAATGCAAAGGTTTTCAGGAGCTTTGTTAAGACTCAACATGTTTCTGAAATTTGGCCTATAAATGAGAAGGGAAGACTTCACTCCAAGTCGGAGGTTGTGGACAAATTAAATGATAGGATCTTCGAAATGGTGACAGGAAAGAAAAGAAATTCACACTCACCAATCCCTTTGTGGGGGTCAGGGGGACAGGACACAAACTTGAGCACTTCTGCTCGCTTCTCTCTTAGCCCCCAACGGTAGAGGATCTCTCCATAGCATTTCTTAAAGTCGTCAAACTGCTGGGTGTTAGCAGGGTCCAAAAGCCTGGATAAAATTCAAGATTTCCTGTCAGTTCCAGAAAACATAAGCTCGAGACCAAATGGCATTTAATGTATCTTTCTTCAAGCAAGAGTCCTGATCTGGGAGAGCCAAGTTCTGGATCTGCGTTCCTGCCTGGGAAGGCTGTTACCTTTTATTTTTATCATGTTGGTCCCGTTCCCGCTCTCGAGGATCACTGTAGGACAGACTCCCGAAGCGGAGTTCTTCTGGCGAGGACTCTCCCCAAGGCGAAGATAAATGCTCTGCGTCTCTTCCCGCTGAAGAAAAGCAAAGGCGAAGAGCAATCAGTGAAGGCCTGCAGACACCTGAAAACTCTCAAGCCACAGGGTCGTCCACTGAGTCCCAGGAAGAAAATAAGCTAAGCTGAAGATTCTGAGAAATATTTCTACCTCTTTGTCCAGGTTTTTACTACTAAGGGAACCTGATCATTAAGTGCACTCAATAATTATAGTATACTGATACAGAATGTAATGCAGTGATTATTTATAAAGATTTGTTAAATGACATGAGAAAATACTCTTGATAAAATTAAAAGCCGAACGCAATCTAGCATATATAGAATAACCACCCACACACGTACACATACTGGAAGAAAATGTTCTGCAATGTTAATGGATGTTATTTCCTAGGTAAGGGAGATCAATAATTACAATTTTTTTCTCTAATATTTTTTGTCTGTATTTCTTCCCTGGGCATGTACTACTTCTATTTATTTGTTTTGGCTTTATTTTATTTTTTTAAAAGATTGGGTCTTGCTACCTTGCCCAGGCTGACCTAGAATTCCTGAGATCAAGCGATCCTCTAGCCTTAAGCCTCCTGAGTAGCTGGGACTACAGGAACATGCAATCCTGCCTGGCTCATGCACTACTTTTATAATCAAGAAAATTAAGATTATTTTTAAAAAGAAATTTCCAAAATCCTGGAAAACACAGAGACACCCACTCATGAAACAGACCCTCACGACCAGCTGG